AAAAAAAAAAAAAAAAAAAAAAAAAAATCCACAAACTTTAGTTGACAAGTGTTATCAAAATAATTCTGCATCTATTAACAGACTTCAAGACTAGCTGGAAAGCTACAGTAATCAAGACAATATGGTATCGGTGAAAAAACAGACAAATAGGTCAGTGGAATAGGGAGCCCAGAAATAGACCCACATTAATGTAGTCAACTGATCTCTGACAAAGTGGAAAGGTAATACAATGGTAAAAAGGTGGTATTTTCCACAGTGGTGCTGGAATAATGGTGCTGGACATCTACATACAAAAAAGGGACCAGACAGAGACCTTACACTTTTCATAAAAATTAACTCAAAATGGATCATAGACCTAAGTGCAAAATGCAAAACCATAAAGCTCATAAAGATAGCACAGAAGAAAACCTAGATGACCATGGATATGGTGATGACTTTTTAGATACAACACCAATGCGATAATCCATGAAAGAAAAATTGATACACTGTACTTCATTAAAATTTAAGATTTCTGCTCCACAAAAAACAGCATGAAGAGAATGAGAAGACATGTCACAGACTGGGAGAATATATTTGCAAAGAACACATCTGATAAGATCTAAAATATACAAAGAATTCTTAATACTCAACATTAAGAAAACAACCCAATTAAAAATGGGCAAAAGATCAGAAGAGATGTTTTGTCAAACAGATGTTTCATCAAAGACAATGTAAAGATGGCTAGTAAGCATATGAAAATATGTTCAATGTCATGTGTCATTGGGGAACTGCAAATTAAAACAATAATGAGATACCATTACATACCTATGAGAATGGCCAAATTCTAAAACACTGACAACACCAAATGCTGACAAGGATGTGGAATAACAGGAACTCTCACTCATTGCTAGAGGGAATGCAAAATGGTACAGCCACTATGGAAGACAGTTTGGCAGTTTCTCGCAAAATCAAACATACTCTTACATATGATTCAGCAATTGTGCTCTCTGGTATTTGCCCAAATGAACTGAAAACTTACCCGCAGAAAAATTTACACACAGATGTTTAGAGCAGCTTTATTTATTTATAACAATTTAAAATTGCCAAAACTTGGAAGTAATCAAGACACCCTTCAGTAGGTGAACAGATAAAATGTGGTACATAGATAAATGGAAGATTATTTAGCACTAAAAATAAGTAAGCTATTAAGTCACAAAAAGACATGGAAGAAATTTAAATGCAGATTGCTAAATGAAAGAACCCAGGCCAAGTGCAGTGGTTCATGCTTGTAATTCCAGCACTTCAGGAGGCTGAGGCAGATCACTTGAGCCCAAGAGTTTACCAGCCTGGGAAACATGGTGAAATCCTGTCTCTACAAACTGCAAAAATTAGCTGAGTGTGCTGGCGCATCACTGTAGTCCCAACTATTTGAGAGGCTGAAGTGGGAGGATCATTTGAGCCCAGGAAATAGAGGCTGCTATGAGCCAAGATCACACCACTGCACTCCAGCCTGGGCAACAGTGAGACACTGTCTCAAACAAACAAGAAACCCAATTTGATAAATCTTCCATTTATCTATGTACCATATTTTATCTGTTCACCTACTGAAGGGTGTCTACTGTATGATTCCAACTATATGATGTTCTGGAAAGGGTAAAACTATAGAGGCAGTAAAAAGATGAGAGGTTGCTGGAGGTTGGTGGGGAAGGAAGACCAGGCTGAACACAGAGGGTTTTTAGGGCAGAGGAACTATTCCGTATACTACAGTGGTGGATACTTGTCATTACATATTTGTCAAAATCCATAGAATGTACAAGACCGAGAGTTAACCCTAAGGGAAAGTACAAACTTGGGGTGATATGTCAATGCAGGGTCATCAATTGTAACAAATGTATCACTCTACCCAGGAATGTCGACAGTTCTGCATGTGTGGGAATGGTGGTACACAGGAACTTTCTGTGCTTTCCTCTCTATTTTGCTGTGAAAACTGCTCTTGAAAATAAAGTTTAATTAAAAATAGTAATAATGCTGTCTAAATCCTAAATTATGACCTTATGAAAGAATTGTTCCTAGATTTTTAAAAATTATTGTAAAAAAACACATAACAAAAATTACCGTCTTTACTTATGTGTATAGGTCAGTAGTGTTAAGTATATTCACACCGTTATGCAATTAATCTCCAGAACTTTTTCATCTTGTAAAATTGAAACGTTATACCCATTAAATTGCCCTCCATTTTCCACCTCTCCACAGCCTCTGCCAACCACTACTCTACTTCTGTTTCTATGAATTTGACTACTCCAGATAAGTGGAATTGTACAGTATTTATGTATTTGTGATTGGCTTATTTCACCTAACATAATGTCTTTAAGGTTCATCCATGTGGTAGCGTTTGTCAAAATTTTCTTCCATTTTAAGGCTAATATTTTGTTGTATGTATATACCATATATGTGTATCCACTCATCCTTTGATAGATACTTGGGTTGCTTCAAGCATTTAGCTGTTGTGAACAATGCTGCTGCAAACACGGGTGTGCACAATCCTGCAAGATCCTGCTTTCAATTCTTTTGGATATATACCCAGAAGTAGTATTACTAGATCAAACGGTAATTCTATTTTTAATTTTTAAAATAAAATGTTTTATTTCAATAGCTTTAGGGGTACAAGTGGTTTTTGTTTACATGGAGGAGGTGACAATAGTGAAGTCTAAGGTTTTAGTGCACCCATCACCCAAGTAGTGTACATTGTACCCAACAGGTAGTTTTTTATTGCTCACTCCCTACCACCCTCCCCTCTTGAGTCTCCAATGTCCATTATACCACTCTGTGTGCCTTTGCATACCCACAGCTAAGTCTCCACTTATAAGTGAGAACATGTGGTATCTGGTTTTCAATTCCTGAGTTACTTCACTTAGAATAATGGCCTACAGTTCTATCCAAGTCACTGCAAAGTATTTCATTCTTTTTTTATTAAGTAGTATTCCATGATACAAACCCTATTTTCTTTATCCACTCATTGGTTGATGGGCAATGAGGTTGATTCCATATCTATGCAACTGTAAACTGTACTGCAATAAACGTGTGCAGTTTTGATACAGTGACTTTCTTGCCTTTGGGTAGAGGCCAGTAGTGGGAATGCTGGGTTAAATGGTAAATCTACTTTTACTTCTTTGAGATCTCCATATACTGTTTTATCACCAGCAATGTATAAACATTCCTTTTTCACCACATCCATGCCAACATCTACTGTTTTTTGACTTTTTAATAATGGCCATTCTGGCTGGGGTGAGGTGGTATCTCATTGTGGTTTTAATTTGCATTTCCCTCAGGATTACTGATGTTGAGCATTTTTTCATGTTTCTTGGCCATTTGTATATATTTTTTTTGAGAAATGTCTATTCATGTCATTTGCCCACTTTTTAATGGAATTACTTGTTTTTTTCCTTGCTGATTTGAGTTCCTTGTAGATTCTGGATATTGGCTCTTCATCCAATGTGTAATTTACAAATATTTTTTCCCATTCTGTAGATTGTCTGTTTATTCTGATGATTATTTCTTTTGCTGTGCAGAAACTTTGTTTAGTTAGGTCTCATTTATTTACCTTTGTTTTTGTTGCATTTGCTTTTGCGGTCTTAGTCATAAACAATTTGCCTAGGCTGATGTCTAGAAGAATTTTTGCTAAGTTTTCTTCTAGAATGTTTATGGTTTCAGATCTTAGATTTAAGTCTTTAATCATCTTGAGTTAATATTTGTATGTGGTGATAGGCAAGGGTCCAGTTTCGTTCTTCTACATGTGGTTATCTGATTTTCTCGTCATCCTTTATTGAATAAGTGTGTCCTTTCCCCACTCTGTTTTTGTATGTGTTGTAAAAGATCCATTGGTTGTATTTGCTTTATTTCTGGGTTCTCTATTCTGTTCTATTATTCTACATATCTACTTTTTTTTACCAGTACCACACTGTTTTGGTTTACTACAGTCTTATAGTATAGTTTGAAGTTGGGTAATGTGATGCCTCTAGATTTATTCCATTTCCTTAGAGTTACTTTGGCTATTTGGGCTCTTTTAGCTCCATATGAATTTTAGGATTGTTTTTTCTAATTCTGAGAAAAATGATGCTGATATTTTGACAGGAATTTCATTGAATCTTTGGGCAGTATAGTCACTTTCAGAATATGGACTCTTATGGAATGTATTTCCATTTGTTTGTGTCATCTATCTCTCTCAGCAGTGTTTTGTAGTTTTGTAGTTCTCTTTGTGAAGATTTTTTGCCTCCTTGGTTAAGTGTATGTGTTGTGTGTGGTGTGTGTATATACACACCCTTTGTTTCTTTCTT